AGCTTTCTCGTGCCCAATCCTAAACGGTTTAGGGTCTAGGGTTGAGCGTATAGGGGTTGGACCATGATGTCGGAGTACAGATCCGTTTGGCAGTTTTGAGGTAGCGTATTGAAGTTCTGTGGAAATGTTTTTGAATATAGAGGTCTGTATCATTAACAGCATTAACTCCTTATAGTCCTTGTAGAACTATACTGTAGTATGCTTCACAACCCTATCGGAATTGCAGGCTTCTACACCCACGCAAGGCCAAACTCTGGACGATAGAGGTTGAGGGTTGAGGGTTTAGGGTTTAGGGTTTTGGGTTTAGGGTTTAGGGTGAGGATCAAGATCCGGGTTTGCCCAAGGGAAGCTCCTGACGCAGACTGAATAAACTCTGGGTCTGGTCTTAACACCAAAGCCCCACACCCTAAACCCTAAACCTTAGAAGCTGCCCCCACCCTGTAATAGTGGTATAATAGGAATTAAAATAGGGCCCTAATATAATCCTATATAACCCTCATCACTATTACAGGGTGGGGGCCCCTTCTAACCTAAACCCTAAACCGCACCCCAAACCCAAAGACTCAAGACCAAAGGCTCCCAACCCTTGAAGCCTACAGCCCAAAACCCCAAAACCCTGGTGGCACATGAACAGAACCCTAACGCCTAAACCCTGAACCCTGGACCCTGAACCGTAAACCCAAAGCCTGAGCCCAAAACCCTAAACCTTAAACTCTGAAGCCGAAACCCTATACCCTAAAACCCTAAACCCCTCTAAAGCCTAAACCCAAAGCCCTAAACCCTAAACTCTGAAGCCTAAACCCTAACCCTAAACCCCTCTAAAGCCTAAACCCAAAGCCCTAAACCCTAAACTCTAAAGCCTAAACCCTGTACCCTTAAACTCAAGCTCCAGCCCCCGACCACAGGCCACGACACCAGTAGATCCTCGGGTGCTGGATGCCATGCGCGGACCTTTGAGGGTCCTGCTTGGAGGATCAGGGGACTTAGTAAGTTAGGTTATAAGTACCTTGATCGAGGTTATAAGTAGTTATAAGTATGGTTACCTTAATTATAACCCTAGTTACTAAGTCCCACGATCCTTCAAGTGAAAAGGAACCCTTAAAGGAACCTTTCAAGGAACCCATCCCAAGGAACTGAAGAAACCTTGAAAGGAACCTGCAGAGGGACCCTTAAGAGCTTTGAGGGTTCCTTGGAGGATTGCTTTAGGCAATGCTATGCGAGCCGTGTGACTTGAAGGACCATGGGACTTATTTATGAAAGGTTTCGTGTGGGTTTGTAGGGTTTGGGTTAGGGTTTAGGATCAAGTAGGTGTTCACAACGTACTATGGAGTTTTAGTCGGATGACGATTGGCCAGAGTTCCTACGAGGGTTCTGTAAGGATTGTGTAATGTTCCACACTCATGCGTCGCGATCAAACTCTAGGTTACACAAAGCCTTGACCAGAATACCCCACCCGCTTGATATCCCTTTTCAGACCATGAAGACGGGTCGTTCCGTAATTGGGGGTCGATGTCTTCGACACGTCGCTCTTCAAGCTTGAGCCCTGACCAGAGGCCGTAAAACCCGACACGTCGAATCCTAAGTCCCAAATCCCCTAAACTGGCCACCGCACTGCCTGGAGCCAAGAAAAAACTGTTGGCAAAGCTTAGGGGTGGAGGAGGGAAGCTTCTGAAGCACTATGTCCGGGACGGAGGTGGTGTGGCAGAGCAAAGGGCTTCTCCAGGGGCAACCCCCAAACCCCTAAACCGCTAAACCTCCAGGCCCCCCCAACCCTAAACCTGAACATTAAACCCTAAACTCTGAAGCCTCAACCCTAAAGAATAAGCCTTAACCCCATGTAACCCCGCCTGTAACCCCATAACCCTAAACTCTTAATCCTAAACCCTAATACCTAAACCCCTAACCCCCTGAAACTCTTTAGGCAGACGGAAAAAGGTGCTCAAACAACAAACCTAACCCCCCTGTACTTGAAGGATCATGGGACTTAGTAACTAGGGTTATAATTAAGGTATTTATACTTATAATTACTTATAACCCCAATTAGGGTGCTTGTAACCTAACTTACTAAGTCTCCTGATCCTCCAAGTAGCCCTTGAGGCTGCCTTACTACCACGGCCGCTTTGGGAACCCGCACAGCCGCAGTCACTCCTACGGCTCGGGGCCTCGGCCTTTGGGGGGGATTTCGGGGCTTCAGGGTTTGAGGGGTTAAGGGGTTTTGTGAAGGTTCAGGGTGTTTAGAGTTTCGGGGTTTCGGGGCTTTAGGGCTTGAGGGGTTGAGGGGTTTAGTGAAGGTTCAGGGTGTTTAGAGTTTCGGGTTTAGGATTTTAGGGGTTGAGGGGTTTAGTGAAGGTGTAGGATTTTTTTTGAGTTTCGGGTTTTAGGTTTTTAGGGGTTAAGGGGTTTAGTAAAGGTTCAGGGTTTTTGGAGCTTTCGGGTCTAGGATTGTAGGGGTGAAGGGGTTTAGTAAAGGTTCAGGGTTTTTAGAGCTTCGGGGTTTAGGATTTTAGGGGTTAAGGGGTTTAGTATATAAGGGTTTAGGGTTTAGGATGCAGGGTTTTTGGGGCTGGGGGGGTTCAAGCTTTAGGAGTTTAGGGGTTCAGGCCTTAGGCATTTAGGATTCAGGGCATTAGCCATAGGGGCTTTAGGGCTTGAGGGTTTGGGGTTTCCTCTAGTGTCTAGCAATAGCTAAACGAATTTGTTATGTGCTGAATGATTTTGTTCAAACCACCCTGGGATTTTGTTTGTTGCTGTTTAAATTGCTGTTTTTGAAAAATGCTTCCAAGGATTGCTTTTGAAGGAGTGTTTTTGTTCGGAGGTAGTGTTTCAAGTCTTTCTCGCGTTCTGCTTTTTAGTGTGCAGCGGCTTTGGGCTTGGGTTTAGGACACCGGGTTCCGGGATATAACACTGTCAGGCGCATGAGGGTTTCGCTGTTTTGTGATGGGTTATAGACCAGCACCATCCATACGCCCAACAAAAGCCAAGGCTCAAATCGAAGGCAAAACCCCAGCACTATCGCAGCCTCAAGAAGGCACTCCTAACCTTCAAGCCACACACCCGTATTAAGGAACCTACGAGAACAAGACCATGCTTTGTAACACTTCATAAGGTCCCCTGAAGCTACAAAGGGGTTTAGGGGTTCACGGTCTAGGGTGTAGGGAAAGTTTCGCGCCGAAATCCCAAACCCTCAGCCCTGTAGCATCCTCCTATAGCCCCATAATAAGCCCTATGTGTCGCAAAGCCTCCTCAACTCTAAACTCTAAAGCATACAAACCCCTAAGACCGCAAAATTTCGTCATGGTGCGGATTTGGGGCGTATCGGGCCGGGAGCTGGCCCTCATACCTGCGGAAGTCTTGGATGATGTGAAGTCTCGTGGTGTTGAGGCCATGGATGTGGGGGTTTAGGGGTTTAGGGTTCAGGGGTTTAGGGTTGGAGGTTTAGGGTTTAGCAGTGGGGCGTTCAGGATTTCGGGTTTTGGTTTTAAGTAGGGGTTGTTCAGAAGGGGTGGCACCAGGGGTGGTCCTGGTTTGATAGCTAGGGCCCCTCCGTGCAAGTTTGCGGTCCCTTTCAACTACTAGTGATACTTGAAGTATCATGGGACTTCGTAACTAGGGGTAACCATATTTACAATTACTTGTAACCCGGACTAGGGTACATATAACCTAACTTACTAAGTCCCCTGATCCTCCAAGTAGAGTCTTCAGCCTCTTACTGGGGCTTCGGGCCAATGGGAAGCCTCAAAAGCCGTAGTTGAGCTTGGAAACTAAGTAGGTCACATGTGGTGCTGCATATACGATAGGTGATTCAAATCTGGTGATCCAAAACCGCCACAACATGGCCGACTTACTACAAACCCATGATGCTAGAGCTCTTATAAAGCCCGACCCCGGAATAAGAACTCTTACTAGGTCCCATGGGCCCTGAACACGAGGATTATTCGTGTTGACAAGGTCAGAAGGTATGACAGGACTGACTTCGGGTTTACGCCTCACAGGGTAGTATTAAGGGTTTGTGTGCATGCATGTTATGAGGATTTAACGTCCTCTCCACGGCCAGCCCTGCACAAATAGCAAGGAGCTCACAGGACCTGGTATCAGGAGCCGGGGAGTGTTGAAGATTCACTGGGTAGTTGTCAAAATTAGGGTCCCGTTTGGGTACCCTAAATACTAGGTGCCGTACTAGATTAGGGACCCAGAAAGGGACCCAATTTTGACAACCACCCCACTGTTTCTTATCTTGTTGAGGGTCGTAGTGCAGTAGACTGCCAGAGTCAAGATTTGGGGATAGTGAGTCCTTCTTGGGCAGGGCTTACGGTTCTAGAGATGCTGTCGCGGCTTCACATGAATACATGTTGACAGTGGCTCATATCATAAGGTCTTGACGACTACTCACAGCATCCATCGAATACACCCTAAACCCTAAACCCTAAACCCTAATAGGGGTTTAGGGCCCTAAACCCCTAAACCCTAAACAACCCTAGACCCTAAGTCCCATACACCAGCCAGAATTCCCACGGGGAGCCCTGTTTACCCAAAACGCTCGGTATCAGCCCGGTAGTTGTCAAAATTCGGGCCCCTTTTTGGGTACCCTAAATATTATAATAGGGACCCAACAAGGGACCATAATTTAGTACCATACTTTAATACTTTTTTTCTTAAAGGAACCCTTATGAAATACAAGTTTATACTTTTTTCTCCCTGGTTACTTAAAAGCCCAGTTTTTGGGTACCCTAAATATTAGAATAGGGACCCAACAAGGGATCGTAATTTTGACAACCATATGAAGGCCCTGAGCCCAAAACCCTACACCATAAAGTTAATTTGGGAGTTTCCGAAAATTACGGTACCTGATTTTGGGGCCCTTATAGCAAGGATCCTACCATGTAGGGTACTATCCTAGGGTCCCCTATTCTCGGAAACTTCCGTTTGGGGGGTTGAGGGTTTTAGGGTTCATGAAGGCCCTCAAGCAGTACTTGCGGTCGACGCTCAACTTTCCCGTTTGCATGCAGCAGCTCATGCGTCTTGGAAGCTTGTTGAGTATCCTTCTCCCCTATGTGATAGAGGGTTCCTGTCGGTTTTTAAATACAGGAGCCTGATTAAGAATCCATGGGTCTTGGTTGGGGTTCTTTACCTTGGTTGCAACATGGGAGTTTCCGAAAATAGGTGACCCTAATCTAGTGCCCTAAATAGCAGGATCCTTACAAAGGAGGGCCCAAAATCAGGTACCACCCCTTTTTTCGCAACCACCCATGTGGGAAACTGCTCAGGTTTCCGCAGTACCAAGGCCTCCAAACCCCTTAATTAAGGGGTATACCTTAAATCATAGTAGGGGCCCTATTACAATTTAAGGCATATTCCTTTACTTTGCTTGTGACCATTGAGCCACCGAGGCACGATGGACGTCTGTTGGACGATTCTTTCGAGCTTGATGCATCGATGCTGAGCCGCTCTTACACATGGTTTCTGAGTGTAATATCCTAAGAAAGGACAACTATTTTGGGGGCCTTACGAGTTACCTAAACTGGTTTGGGGGTTCCTCAATATAGATATAATATGTACCCACAACCCATATTAAGGTCCCCACATCATTAACTCGAAAGGGCCCTGCAAGAACCGCCCAGGATGGATGTGCAGCTGATCCTCTTGCCCATCAGCAGCTCCCAGCATCAAAGGGAGGCGGAAAACGAGCTCGCCTTCGCTGCCTTATCTGGGAATGTTGCTAGGCCCGCTCATTAGGGTTTAGGGTTTAGGGCAACCTCCTACACCTCTTAGCATCGTAAGCACGTGGTTGTCAAAATTAGGGTCCCTTTATTTTGGGGTACTTAATATAAATACGGCACCTAATATTTCGGACGCCCAAAAAAGGGACCCGAATTTTGACAACAGCCCCCCCATGGCGGGTAAGATTTTGGGAATCCAGAGACTCCAATATCCCTTAACTAAGGAATATTCCTTAAATCATATTAAGGATCCGATTATAATTTAAGGAGTATTCCTTAATTAAGTTTTTTTGGAGTCTCTGGGAATCCTGCACTCCGGATCTCCTGCTTGTGACGCCCGACACGGCAGCCGCATGGTTTTCTGCAGGCTCTGTTGTGGCGGAAACTTCATATACCTTATACCCAGAGACTCCCATATCCCTTAATTAAGGAATATTCCTTAAGCTATAATAGGATCCCTAATACGGTTTAAGGAATATTCCTTAATTCAGGGATATGGGAGTCTCTGGGTACCTCATGCCTTGTACCCAACCGCAAACCCTATACCCTACAGTACATATACCCTATACCTGTATGTTTGCCGAGGTTGATGTGGTCCGATTTCTGCTGCAAGCGGGATGTCAACACAAGGCGAGCCTAGCACTTCTCCGAGCATCAGAAGCTGGGTTCGTGTGATCGGTTCGGGTTCAGGGTATTTCAGGTTTTAGAGTTCAGGGTATTTTAGCTTAGGGTTTAGGGTTTCGGGTTTAGGGCTCTGGTTTGACATAGGGGCCTGAGTCGGGTATACCGGGTATAATATGCCATAACTATGACCAGGGACCCTTCAGGAAACAGTATTCCCTGAAACCCCTAAACCCTAAACCACTTGAGTTCGGGAGCAGGGTGTGCTGAGGAAGTCGTATACCTTGGAGGATCAGGGGACTTAGTAAGTTAGGTTATAAGTACCAACTGGGGTTATAAGTAATTATAAGTATAGTTACCTTACTTATAACCCCATGATCCTTCAAGAAGTGATGTTTTGCGAGTCTTACATGCTTTTAGGGCTGCGGGGTCTTGTTGAGGAACCTAACCTAAGCTTGTCGGAAGCGGGCTATCTACTGTGGTTTTGTCCTTCTTGGGGAAATTTCAATAATCAAGGCCTAAACCCGAAACCCCTAAACCCTAAGCCCTAAAGCCTAAACTTGACCCTCTTTTGAAAACAAGAATTGAGGAAGAGGGCCACGCAGAGATCGCAGAATTGTTGCTGGAAGCGATCACCGGAAAGCAGGTGAAGGGCAGCTTCTGTAACTTAGCAGGTAAGTAGGCAACATTTGGCATTTTTGGGTTAATATTATCCTACCATAATTGAGCAGGTTAACCTTTCTTTATGTAATGTAATCCTACCATAATTGCAAAGGTTACCATTTTTTGGGCTAGGGCCTAGCTCGGGTACTCAGCCCCTATAAGGTAGGGGAGCTCTCCTAGCAGCGTCTGAGAGGGGCCACGCAGAGATTGTGCGCTTGCTGCTGCGGTTTGGCGCTGACAGTTCTGTTAAAGACCACTTTAGCAGAACCCCTCTTTTCCGTGCAGCTGAGACCTGGCTTTGGAGTACCATAGTTTAATACTTTTTTTGGGACCTGTTACTTACGGGGAGCCAAAATGAAATAAAAGTCTATACTTTTTTTCCCCTGGTTACTTCAAAGCCCAGGAGAAGGGCCACGTCGACGTCGTCCGCCTGCTGCTTGAAGCCAAGGCGAACGCGGATGAGAGTGACGTAGTTTCCAGAACGGCTCTTGTTCAGGCATCCGCACAGGGCCACGTAGAAGTCGTGCAGTTGCTACTGGAAGTGGGTGCTCGTAAAGCTCGAGAACTATCCCTCCTGTGTGCGTCTGAGAACGGCCATGTGGACGTGGTTCGCCTGCTCTTACGAGCTGGTGTCGATTACGAGCTGAAGGCCAAAAACTCCAAAACAGCCATACTGCATGCGGCTGAGAATGGCCACAAGCAGACTGTGGCTTTGCTACTGGAAGCTGGTGCCACCAGCTCGGGCAGCATTGACTGTGCAGCAAGACACGGGCACTTTGAGATTGTGCTTCTGGGTTCTTGTTAAGAGGCTCAGTTTAAGCTCCTATGTTAAGGAAACCATGTTGTTTTTTATAGATCCCTACGATGGTAGCTTAATCAAGTTCCTTCACAAGAACGCAGGCTTTTGCTGCTGGAAGCTGGTGCCGTCACAGATCGGGAAGATACTTTCCTTCGTGCCGCTGAGAGTGGCCACGTTGAAACCGTTCGTTGGCTTTTGGAGTCCGGCGTGGACAAGAACCTGCAACTCGGTTCTTGGTGCAGTCTATTAAGTTACAAAGCCAGGTATGTATATGTATTTGTACATATGTATATATACATGCACATTATATGTATACATGCAAACGAAAAAGTAACTTCCTGATAGATCTACGTGACATGCATATGTAGATGTGTAGTAACTTAAAGGTCATATCATAGGCTTGGATCTTATGGCTTCAATCCGTATCATCTGCTGCACTAAACCCTAAACCCGAAAACCCTTAAATCCAAAACCCTCTAAACCCTAAACCCTGAAGCCTAACCGTAAACCCCAAAACCCCTAAATCCTGACCTCAAATCCTACCTTAAACTACCAAACCCTACCTTTTTGTAGGTTCTTATTATAAACCCTAATATTGAGTTTATAGGGACCCGACAAAAAAGTAGGTTTTGGTTGGTAGGTTAAGGTACACTTAACAAGAGCCCAGGCAAGACAAAGGCGGAGCCACGGCCTTGATCCTTTGCGCGGAGCGAGGTTGGAGTGGGCTTTCGGGGTTCAGAGCTTCGGGTTTACGGCTTTAATTAAGGCTTGAAGGTTTAGGGTTTTAGGAGTTTAGAGGTTTTGGGTTTTCGGGTTTAGGAGTTTTGGGATTTAGGGTTTGGCCGTTTAGGGTTTAGTGGTTTAGGGTTTAGGGATTTGGGCGTTCTTAATCCTGCATTCAGTGTTCCTTGTATTCAGGGTTCCACAAGTTTTCACTTTAGGGTTTGGCGCTTATTTGTGAAGCTCCCAGGTAGCCTTGAAGTGGCGCGGTTGCTGCTGCGGGCTCGCGCTTACATAGACGTGCAAGATGCCAGCTCCAGTACCGCTCTCCTTCGCGCATCTGTGCGAGGCCATGCTGAGAAACACCCCAATGTAGGAACCTGATTAAGAAACCCTGGCCCGATACCCCCCACATAGTAGGATTCATATAAGGAACCCTACTTGGAGGTTCATGGGTAGTTTTAAGTGGGGGTATAAGTCCCCTAAATATAGGTGATAATTAGAGTTACCCTAGTTATAACCCTACTTATATACCTACCTATGAACCTCCAAGTAATTCAGGTTCCTACATTACGCCCCCCACACGCAAACCCTAAACCCTGGAACCCCAAGTCCTTAACTCCTGAACCCTTAAATCCCTCAACCCGAAACCGCTAAACCGAAACCCCATACTTGAAGGATCATGGGACTTAGTAAGTTAGGGCAGGGTTCCTTAAAGGGCTCCTTTCAAGGGATCTATAGGGGTTCCTTAAAGGGATCTAAAGGGTTTAGGGTTTAGGGTCTACTTAAAGGATCATGGGACTTAGTAACTAGGGTTATAACTAAGGTAACCATACTTATAACTACTTATAACCCCAATTAGGGTCCTTGTAGCCTGCCTGATCCTCCAAGTACCCTCCCATGTGCGCGAAAGGCCATGCTGACGTCGTGCAGTTGCTGCTGGAGGCCATGCGTAGCTAATGGGAGGAATATAATCTATATACGGGTGTCCTTATTTCGTCTATGTTACCGCACACCCTAAAACTCTAAACCTCAAACCCGCCCCAGACCCTAAACCCTAAACTCCCAAAACTCTAGGAAACTCTAAACATCTAGGCCTCCCTTTCGCACGATAACTTCGACAGGCTTAGGGCTTATATCGTGTTTAGGATTATAAGCTTCAGGGTTTAGGGGATGAGGGTTTGAGCCTCTCGTTCACGTGATAGCCTCAACCTTCATCTGCGGCGTCGGCTGAGGTCCAGCCTGAATCATAGAGAGAACCCTGGCCCTGGGAACCCCCTAAAACGGATCTACAGGGAACTCCAGAAAGTTGGAATATGGTTTCAGGGTAGGATACCCTATAATTTACCATAGAAGGGTGTAGGATAATGATATTCCAACTTTCTGGCTTTTACTGTAGGGGTTGAGGGTTGGAGGGGCCTACAGTCTGAATCCCAGAAAATTATGGGAGTTTCCGAAACTCGGGGACCCAAATATAGTACCCTAAATAGCAGGATCCTTATGATAAGGACCCCAAGGTAAGGTACCCCTAATTTTCGGAAACTCCCGTATAGTCTGACTTGGAAAATTATACAGTAGACCCCCAAAAGTTGGAAACCCAATAGCCTCAATCCTGAAGAGTAATGTATAGGGAATCCCAGCACTTTTTGGCCTTAATCCGGTTTCCAACTTTATGGGGTTTACTGTAGTCCAACTTATTGCCAGAATCTTGCAGCCATCGTCCGAACTCGTGGTCCGAACCCTAGAATCGTAGTCAGAACCCTCGGAATCAGAGTCCGAACCCTAAAACTCAAAGTCAGAACATATTCAGAACCCTATAAGATTCACAGCCAGAACCCTAGAATCAGAGAGTCTTGGTTGGGTCTTGATGCGGCTTTGGTTGGATATTAATTATGTCGATCGTGTGGTGCTCAACCCAAATTAATTCAGCCCCAAACCCTGAACTCTAAACCCTAAACCCAACACCCTAAACCCTCAATCCCAAAAAAAGTTGGAATCGAGGCGCGTAAAAAAACCTTAAATCCCAAACCCTAAATCCTAAACCTCTGGCTCGACGAAGCGAAGAGACAGGCTGGCGCAGACAAAAACCTGGGAGACAGCTACTCTCGGACTCCTCTGCTACATGCGGCTGAGCAAGGCCATGTAGAGACCGTGCGGATACCGGGTGCTTGTTTACAATGGGTGGTTGTCAGAATTATGGTCCTCTTTGAGGTACCCTAAATAATAGGTGCCGTATTATAATAGGGACCCAAAGCGGGACCATAATTTTGGCAACCACCCATATAGGCTTTGGGGCTTAGAGTTTAGGGCATGCAGGGTGTATGATAGGGCTTGTTGGGTTGGGGGGCTTTTCGGCTCGAAGGACTTCGGGTTGAGGTAGTAAGACTATGACAACGCATGTTCCTTAACAAGAGCGTTCTTAACCTCCATCAGTCAAGCCTTAAACCCTAAACCCTAAACCCCAAACCTTAAAGAAACTTCGATGAAAAGTGTTTCGGCTCGTAAGGATACTTTTGGAGGCGGCCGTCGACAGGGACCTCAGCGACCACTACGCCAGGACGGCGCTTCTCTGCGCGTCTGCGAAGGGCTACCACGAGATCGCAAGTTTGTTGCAGGCCCACTTTCTGGAGATCCGAATATAGAAACTCAAACTCCCAAAACCCCACTCCAATGATTAAGGCCCCTGTGCCGAAACCTCTCTCCGATGGTTAAGGTATGTCAGACGACCCTAAACTCCTGACCCGAGCCCAAAGGTCCTGGAATTACGCGGTTGAGGGTTGAGGGTTCAACCCTAAACCCTTAAATCCTAAACCCTAAACCCCAAGCCCCAAACCCTAAATCCTAGACCCTAAACCCCAAGCCCTAAACCCCAAACCCTAGGGACCTTACCACCCCCAAGCCTTAAAGCCCTCCAAACCTCCCCGAGCCAGGCGGATGCCGGCGAGGAGGGGAGGGAGCTCTGCAAGTTTTCTCACCTCCAGCAGTTAGAAGCCGGTGAGCGCTAGTCCCCGAGACTCCAAAACCGCCATCATTAAGGAAGGTGTGTACATATATGTATATGTATATATATATATATATACACATATAATTACATAATTATATATCTAGATGTGGAGGGGGATCTTCATTCATGATGTGTTGCTGAAGTTGATGTTGTTTACTTGAACTGAAGGAGGTTTTGGAGTCCCTGGTGCAAGTAGGACCGATGTCATGACGGGAACTTTCTTCGCTTTGAGTTTAGGGTTTTGGGGTTTAGGGTTTAGGGTTTATAGGATCTGGGGTTTAGGGTTAGGCCAGATGGTTTCTGAGGCACGCCCAGCGGATGCTTCAGGCGATCACCCGAAAGCTTGTACGGATCTGTAACTAACCAGGGTCTTTGTCGTGCATTTTCACACCCGATTTGAAATCGCGGCTGTGCCTTTCAGCATGTGCCGGCGTCGGCTGGTGGCATTGCAGCTGCTAAAAAGGCTGACCCGGCCACCGCGTAACCTGAACAATAAGCCTAAACAGTAAGCCCAAAGTAATTTAATAGCCTGATGAACAATACGGCTTTCTGGGACAGCCCAGAAATGTGGATGTTATGTAAGGGAGACAGGTTTATAAGCAGAGGTTCACATTCATGTAAGAGCCCGATTAAGAACCCTTAGTTCTATAGAAGTGTCGCATCCGCAAATCCGTACAAAGCGCCCCTCTAAGAAACAAGGTGTTGTTTAGGGTTTAGGGTTTTAGGGTTTAAGGTTCTCGAATCAAGTTTCTACATCAGACGGTTGAGGCCCAGCAACCTCTTGCTTCATCAGTGAGACTCTGCCTTCATCATGGTACCATAACCTGCAAATTTGTAAAGTGCACCACAGAAAGTTGGAACATGGGTTTAGGATGATTAGTGCTGGGATTCCCTCTACTTTACCTCAAGGACATGAGGATAATGATGTTCCAACTTTTGGCTTCTACTTCAAACCCCAACCTTCAACCCCTGAACCCCTAAACCCCTTTTTGGCTTCTACTGTAAGGTTTCGGTCGACAGGTCTCCTTGCCCTTGTTTGCTTCCCAATAGAACTCGGACCCTCCGAAGCCTTCGAAAGCACCTTTAAAAGGAACTTTCCTGGGCCCTTATAGGTCCCTTTAAAAGGAACCTTCCTTCCTGTAAAAGGACCTTGAAGTATAAGACGCGTGCCTGACTTTGAGGATATGGGAGCTTCAGACAGTAGGGGAGCCCATTCTAAAGCTCTAGATAATCGGATCCCTGTTTGCAGGATCCCCCGCAATTATGAAAGTCCAGTAGTTTATTGTCCTTTAAGCCCCAAACCCAATACCCTAAACCTTAAGCCCAAAGCCTTGAACCATCGCCGGAAAAAAACCTTGAAACCAAAGTCTTAGTTTGGGGTTTAGGGTTCAGGGTTTGGGGCGGGGCGGTTTGGAGTTCAGGGTTGGGGCGTTTAGGGTTTAGAGTTCGCGGTTTGGGGTTTAGGATTGGTGTTTTAGTTTCTGTTTTTGGGTTTGGGATTCAGGGTGTGGGGTTTAGGGCTTGTGTTTTCGAGTTATAGCTTAAGTACGGGTTTAGGATTTGGAGTTTAGGGTTTGTTCTTTTGCACGTCAAGCCGAAACATGGATTGGACACCCACAAGGAGCCCCATATAGTTTCAGGGTATGCTATCTTATATTAGTGTATATTATGGTACATTTCGTCCCGTATAGTTTTGGGGCATACCCTAAGGGTCCATGTACCCAAATAGCATATACTTTGGCCTTAAAGTAGTCCCTATATAGGTACATTGGGGCCAAAGTATATACTATTTGGGTACATGAACGCATAGGGATATTACAATATATGATTGTATATTATGGTACATGTCTGCTGAAGAGACTGTGGAGTCTCTGGGGATCTTGCCCGTGACCCCAAACCCTACAAAACAGTAGGTTATGACCCCTTTTTTTATAAGGTCTAACCCCTAAAACAGTAGGAACCCTAACCCCTAGATCCTAAACCCTAAACCCCTAAATCCTAAACCCTAAACCCTAAATCCTAAACCCTAAACCCCTAAATCCTAAACCCTAAACCCTAAATCCTAAACCCTAAACCCCTAAATCCTAAACCCTAAACCCCTAAATCCTAAACTCAGGGCTTAGGCCGCCCACCTTCGATGGTGGGCGGCGCTTATGCCCTTCGACATCGATGGCGCAAGTCGATCCAGGACGCTCGCCCGCCGTCCCACAGCCAGGGGTTCTGTAGCACCCACGTTGGGCCCGGTACCGGGACACGTTCTCTGACCCCGCCGGCCTTGGCTCTCTGGCCTCCCTGGCCCCCCTGGCCTACCTGGACCTGCCCTGCTTTGCCCCGCCTGAGGTTGAAGAAATAAAGAAAACCGTAGACTGAGTTTAGGTTCTAAACCCTAAAAGGAATAGGTTTGGGTGGTTTAGCCGCCTTAGACGGCGTGGGGTGGGAGAGTGAATAAAAAGAGCCAACCACAATCAGGCTCAAACGTTGAATCGCCTGAGGACGATGCACTCGAAATTACACTGTCGCAAGCTCCTTCCGCTTATGCGCCATTCTACGGCAAACCCTAAACCCTAAATCCTAAACCCTAAACCCCTAAATCCTAAACCCTAAACCCTAAATCCTAAACCCTAAACTCCTAAATCCTAAACCTTAAACCCCTAAATCCTAAACCCTAAACCCTAAATCCTAAACCCTAAACCCCTAAATCCTAAACCCTAAACCCTAAATCCTAAACCCTAAACTCCTAAATCCTAAACCCTAAACCCCTAAATCCTAAACCCTAAACCCTAAATCCTAAACCCTAAACCCCTAAATCCTAAACCCTAAGCCCCTAAATCCTAAACCCTAAACCCTTAAATCCTAAACCCTAAACCCTCTCTTTCAAATGAGTATTTAAATGTTGAGCCATTTTTCCGTCACGGACCCCCCCAGTGTTGCACCAGGTTTCCGTCAGGACCCCCCAGTGTTGAGCCAGGTTTCCGTCAACGGAAACCTGGTGCAACACTGGTCCCACCAGTGTTGCACCAGGTTTCCGTCAGGACCCCCAGTGTTGCACCAGGTTTCCGTCAACGGAAACCTGGTGCAACACTGGTCCCACCAGTGTTGCACCAGGTTTCCGTCAGGACCACCAGTGTTGAGCCAGGTTTCCGTCAACGGAAACCTGTGCAACACTGGTCCCACCAGTGTTGCACCAGGTTTCCGTCAGGACCCCCCAGTGTTGAGCCAGGTTTCCGTCAACGGAAACCTGGTGCAACACTGGTCCCACCAGTGTTGCACCAGGTTTCCGTCAGGACCCCGTCAGTGTTGCACCAGGTTTCCGTCAACGGAAACCTGGTGCAACACTGGTCCCACCAGTGTTGCACCAGGTTTCCGTCAGGACCCCCCAGTGTTGAGCCAGGTTTCCGTCAGGACCCCCCAGTGTTGAGCCAGGTTTCCGTCAACGGAAACCTGGTGCAACACTGGTCCCACCAGTGTTGCACCAGGTTTTCGTCAGGACCCCAGGGTTTGGGCTTTAGGGTTTAGGGCCTAGGGTTTGGGCTTTAGGGTTTAGGGCCTAGGGTTTGGCCTTTAGGGTTTAGGGCCTAGGCCTAGGGTGTGTGCTATAGGGTTTAGGGCCTAGGACTTTGAGGTTTAGGGTTTAGCGCTTGGGCTTTAGGGTTTAGGGCCTAGGGTTTGGGCTAGGGTTAGGGTTTAGGGCCTAGGGTTTGGGCTTTAGGGTTTAGGGCCTAGGGTTTGGCCTTTAGGTTTAGGGCCTAGGGCTTTGGGCTAGCTTTGGGTTTAGGGCCTAGGGCTTTAGGGTTAGGGTTTAGCGCTTGGGCTTTAGGGTTTAGGGCCTAGGATTTGGCTTTTAGGGTTTAAGGCCTAGGGTTTGTTTGGGCTTTAGGGTTTAGGACCTAGGGTTTGGGCTTTAAGTTTAAGGCCTAGGGTTTGGGCTTTAGGGTTTAGGGCCTAGGATTTGGGCTTTAGTGTGTCATGCTTCTTTCTGTAAGGCAGAAAAGATGACACATATCCGGCCTGAAATGTGTCATGCTTCTTTCTGTAAGGCGGAAAAGATGACACATTTCCGGCTTGAAATGTGTCATGTTTCTTTCTGTAAGGCGGAAACGATGACACTCTGTAAGGCGGAAAAAATGACACATTTCCGGCCTGAAATGTGTCATGCTTCTTTCTGTACTGCAGCAATAGAAACATAAGTATATGCTAGAAATCAAGGCGTAGGGTTTGAGGTTTGATGTCGTCTGAGGGTAACGAAAAAAATTTTCTAACTCTTATGTATTGGGATTCTTTGGGTGGGTGGGTATTCTTCCAGGTTCTTACTAGCGAACTTGACTAGATACTGCTCGACCAGAGCTGCTGAACCCTAAACCCTAAATCCTAAACCCCAAACCCCTAAATCCTAAACCCTAAACCCCAAATCCTAAACCCTAAATCCTAAACCCTAAATCCTAAATCCTAAACCCTAAATCCTAAACCCTAAATCCTAAACCCTAAGCCCCTTAAAGCCAAACCACCACACTTTTCACACACCGGAATCTTGGGGACTTCTGGGCTCGTGCTTCTACTGTTGATGATATATAGACCTCGAATAATTGTCTTAAGGGCCCTAGACTATGGGAATTGAGGTATGCTTTTTATTATGGAAAATTAGGACCCTAGACTATGGGAATCACGGTATACGCTTTATTATTTTTTAAATTATTATTATTTAAATTATGGGTCATGCAGGACTTATATCATCAGCCGTAGTTCAGGGTTCGGGCTTCTTCTGTGACAGGTTTTGTTCGTGGGGCGTTAGGGTTCAGAGGGGATGGGGAGTTAGGATTTCGTTTTTGCCTAGCATCCCCTCACCCTGTTTCCGAAGCACTCTGAAACCTGAGGATGGGATGCAGAGGAGGCCACCGAGAAGGCCTTCTGGTTGATTTTCTGAGTGATCTTTGGATTTCCTGGTAGAGCCCTCAGAACCCTAAGCCCCTAAACCCCTAAACCATATAATAAGGTTGTCGTGCA